CTCACAATAATTTTTTTTAATTCCACAGTTTATTTAATCAAATGACCTTTTCAAAGAGCTCATATTGTGGGTTCTTTGGGTTATTCATTTTCCAAATTTTATACACAAAGCCGGGTTATATATGTTAAATTTTAGACATGGAAAATTAATCCTTATAATAAGGTCAATAGAGTCTATTGAAGAGAAGTTTATGAATTTCCCATTACAAAATTTGAACTCGTTTGCAAATTATTGTTATTTTATTTTCACTTTTTTTTTTTTTTTTTTTTTTTTTTTTTTTTTTTATCGCAGACAAGTGTTTATTATTATTATTATTTAAGAAAAGTGTTGGATTCTCTCATTACAATAGAGTTTATCATTTTTACTTGCATAATGTACGATATTTATCATTTTTTTTTTTTTTGAAAAATTTGGAAAACTGTTTATTTATGTCTAATAAAATAACAATTTCGGGTTGGAAGATGGTTCTGGGCTAAGAATCCGGAACGCACCAATTGTTGTACTGTCCAAACACGCAAGGATTCCTTGATTTGGTCATTCACCTCTTGAGTCTTGCCTCTTGGTCTTGGTCACAAAGAATCAAAAGATTCACAAGATCAGACCCCTAAAAGATCTTGATTTTCGAGGTGTCAGAATACCCACAAACATAATTTCAAAGAATGCAGTGTCCAAGCAATAATTTCTTCAGATACAACACCACTTTATGCGCCTGCAATCCAGGTTACTTTTACAACACCACCGATAGCACCTGCTCGCCGGCGACCTCCTCCGGTGCCGACGAGTTCTTGGTGGGTTCTGGAGTCGACTATTCAATCAACATCCCTGCTAACCTCTTCTCATTTGACTCAATCAAGAAATTCACACAATCTCAAGCTGTGTTTCTTGAGACTACCCTTGTGTTACTTGCTTCGTGGCTCGTATTTTGCTTCTTTGTGCGATTTGGGAAGCTCGGTGATGGAACAACGCTTTGGTTTCAGATCAGATGGTGGATTAGCAGACTGGATGTCTCCTTTGCTACTCGCCATTGGCTGGTACTTTTTTGACTCATTGTTGAATGTTTGGATTTAGATTTACTTCCGTCTTTTGACTTTCAAGAGTCAAAATTAGCCAGTATTATATACAGTCAAAATTTGTGAATAATTTCATTATGTATCCATATAAAGATTACGTAAATAGAAAAATGATGTAGATAAGTAACTCAAAGTCTTAAAACAATATGTTAACTTTCAATTTGGAAACAATTGGATTTGACCCTTTTGCTATGTCTATGAAATAGATTGCTTTTAAACTTTCTAGCCATCAGAATCTTGAATCTTGATGCCTTCTTGTTTTCGATTGGGTTATTCATATGTTCTTGTCATTACTGATTAGCGAGGCTGTAAATCACATGTTAATCACCTGAACTAAAAAGCGTATCCTTCTTTTGATTAGGAAATTGCATGTAGAGATTGGGAATTCGGGAAGGAAAAATCTTGGTAGATAGAAATAAATTGAAATCTAATCAGCATCTTCTTTATGATTATCCTATCATTTTTTCATCCTGTATCTTTTTTTTCTTGGAACATTGTTATGCATTATTCTTTTTATCATTTGTGTAGGATGATCAAAAAGTTGTCAAGAAGCGAAAAACAGAACTTGGTGGAACTTTCTCGATTGCAAGCTGGATTCTTTTTATTGGTCTGTTTGCTGCGTGAGTGACCAATAAATTTCATAACTACACCACACCACACACCTTTCTTATGCTCAAATACAAAACAATCATATTCTTTTTTCCCATTAACCACTTTATGGGTAAAGTGTCAAATTTATAAAAAAAAGTTAGGACTTGATGGGCAAAGTCACCTCTCTAACTTTCTCTATTAAGTCGTCGAGTCTGTAACAAATCAAAAAGAAACACCCATGTATAACTTACCTAACGTTTTTTTTTTTTTTCCCCATGTGTCTTCCAATCACAGATTACTATATCAAATGATATCAATGAGAACCGTTGAGGTGCACAGTGTTATAGCAACAAATGCACCCGACTTAGCATCATTCCACAACGACATGGAATTCAACATAACCACCATTTCCAGCATGACCTGCTCAAATCTACAAGGACTTTCTACTTTGGTCACTGGAAACCCCGGTTTCATTAATTACCGAACCGCCCCTCTTTCCACTTTGGTCAACTTCACCTGCGAAAACACCACAACGGGCCCCACAATATCTCTAAAATGCAACGATTGTCAACTCCTTCGTGACAATTTATACATCTCGTGGCAATTTGTTGACCTCCCAAATATGCCTGCAATGGCGGTTGGTTTCGAGTTTAAGTTGAGTGCAAGAGACCCACGTCACAAGAAGCACGTGAGTTTTGTTAGTGGGGCTTTAAAGAATGGAAGTACTAATAGTGCAAAGTTTGTGACATATAGAGGGAGAGATCCAAATATTTTGCAATTTAATTTGTTTCCAAGAATATACCGGACTAAACACGATCTTAAACTCATACAACCTCTTTTTCATGACTTCCTTCCTGGTTCGTCTCATTCTGAGACGAACCAGCTGCAGGCCTCTTTACAGAGGCCTGCAGATGGGCTCGTGAATATGACATTGTATGTCAATTACCTTTCGTCCTACATTGTGGAAATCGATAATCAAAGCACGCTTGGGCCTGGTGAGTAGTATTACTTCTTTGCCCTTTTGTCATGCTTGCATATTTTTTGATTAGATATTTGCTCGAAGGATATGTTAATTCTTTGTCTCACATATGTTATTTTTCGAAGAATGCAGTGGGGTTTCTTGCTGATGTTGGTGGCTTGTATTGCATTAGTATTGTCATATTTTTCTACCTTATGGTGCAAGTACGCTTCTTATTCCTTTTCCAAAAAATTAATCCTTGTTCTTTCCATATTTTAACAAACATTTCATTTGCAGTAACAATGGAAACAGAAAATAGATAATAATGGAAACCTAAAATAGAACCAAATACGTAGTTGGGTTTGTTTTAATATAGAAATTTACATTAGTGGTTTTGATCCCAAAAAGTTTTCTCTTGCAATTTTGGTCGTTATTTGAGAATCTTGGTTCCAAGTAAAATGACTATTTTGGTCCCTAATTATAGGTGATTTTTGCAATGCTGGTCCAAAAAATATAGTTATTTACTTGGAATAGGGACCAAAAACGCAAAAATCAGGTACTCAAGGACCGAAAATGTAATTAACTTTTGAAAGTATAAAACTGATGGGATGTCATTTCAAGTGTGAATAAAATAAAGTAAACCGGATCCTAATTTGTTTTGTCCTGTTTAGTTTGAGTACAGATTCAAGAGGTTCCGTAGTGAGGATAGAGTGATGAGAAGTATTAGAAATCGCCGGAAAGCCCAAGAACGATGGAATAAGGTATTTAGGAAATATAATTTCTTCTTTTATATTTAGACTGTTGAATGTGATTGATTATCAACCGAATTTCAATATTTCTTTAATTATCAAAACTAGTTGAGAAAGTATGTAAGTTTTACGTGGGGCCCTGGAATATTGGCTTCAGAAGACAAAGCTTTTGTGGAAAAGGAATGTTGCAATTGTTTTGCAGTTCCCAAAAGAAGGAAACAAACAACAATGGATAATATCAGTTTCAACACTACTAAAGAGAAGGTATGAAGTTACAAGTCATAGATTGTAATAGTAGTATATACATTGTTTGTAAATCGTAATGGCAACCAACTTTTTTTTTTTTTGATACACAAGTCATAGAACATGGAAGTAATTTGTCTTCTTCTCTCATCTGCAGCAGGTGGTACATGATGTGAATTGCAAAGAGGAAAATAACAGAAATAGCAGCAGCATGCATTCAAATAACGCAGATACGCCTCAACATGATATACCTTTGCCACCATCATTAGGTAAAATACAAATGACCAAATTACCCTTCCGGGGTCTTTATGGCTGGGGCAATTTTTTTTATGTATTATGAGGATCAGAACAAGAGACCAACTGTCCCACTTTGTTTCACCTTTTTGTCCCATTGACATTAGTCTAAGTCCCAGTCCAATCCATGCCAAATGGACTTACTTGTGAATTGTATACACTCATTGATTTTGTATCTTTGTGTTGTCAGAAATCATGCCTGGTTCTGAAATCAGCATTCAAGAAATCCATAAAAACCTCAAAAATCTGTATGAATACAACGTGATGCTTCGAGACAAGCTGGTTACAACTCGCTCCATGATCAGTGCTTTAACATCAAAGGCTTCTGCTGCATCTTCATCGGATCAGAGACACCAATAGCATCAGTTTAGCACTCCATGCTTTAAAATAAGCTTGGTTTGTATTGTTATTTAGGGTGGGTTTCGTATATGTAAATTTGAGGGGGGTAATGCAGAATGCGTATGGATTGTAAGGACAATGTAGGTAGGTGTGTGGAGTGCTAATTCTTTCGTTGTATATGTTAGGCAATAGTCTAATAGATATGGGTGTGGTTATTCTTTTATGTGTCATGTTCATTTATTCATCGATTTCTTTCTCATGAAAAATTACTCACATAGTATCTTCTTGACTATGCTTTTTGGCTTAATGCGACACATCCAACTTGTATTATATGATATCAACAGCCTACAGATGTCAGATTTATAGTCATAAGTCGGTGGTCGGTCGATTATTTTGTGTTTTAAACGTTCAAAGATGAATTGATGGTTCCTTGTAAAGGGTTCATCTTTTTTCCTCATCAAATCATGTACTATATGTAAAGGGGCTGAATGGATTAAATCTTATATAAGTAAAGTGGCTGAATGGGTAGTGATGTGTATAAAATGTTATGCAATATCTAGACCAAAGAAGCCATCTTGAATTAAACTAAATGACCATATTACCCTTTCATTCCACAAAACAGTCACAATATTCATTAATATTAACAATATTTATCAATTCTAATATGAAAGGAGTTGAGAGAGATAAATAGAAGAAATGGTGTGTGGGTAAATGGTTGATGTCTCAAGACATTAAGCCAATATTTTTTCGACTTAACCCATTACATCATTTGAAAAGGAAAAAAAAAAAAAAAGAACAATCATATATAAGTATCCCCACATCGTATTATTTTCCCTGACAAACAGAGTCCATGATCACACATACTTTTCTTGGGAGGACTGGTTATAATCGACCTATATGATCAAAACTAATTAAAAAAACTTACGAAATAAAAATCAACATCACAAAGAATTTGAAGGGATCAAAACCATTAAATATGACAAAAAATAAAATCCAAATTCATGGGGTTCATGTATCAACATTAACATGTACATACACAAATGCAATCAAACCAAAACCAAACATTCTCCATTAAATTAAGTACCTTATTGTTTCTAAGTGGATTGACCCTCTGTAATAGGGGCACCGCGGGGTCGAGTCACAACAGCTAAGATGTCGGCATATCCAACCAACCCAACCAGGACTTCCTCATTCTCAGCATCCGTCACCCAAACATGAGTCGCCCGATGAGACAACATCTGCGCCATAACTGCCGCCAACGAGCTCGTAGCTTTACATGTCAAAGGCACACTCCGACCTCTATACATACTCCGATTAGCCCCAAAACTGTGACTCGAAGGGTTGCTGTTAAAAAACCCAACACTCCTGCTACTAAACGTCCTCTGTCTCAGCGGCCGCGCTCCGCCTCCATTCAGTAAACTCCCGCCATTTGTTCCCGCCAGGACGATATCAGGAAGCGACCTTGAAGACAAATTATCTTCGACGCCCATAACAAACTGGCCTGCGGAAAGATTAGCAAGGGCCCACGCGGCGGCTAAATAATCGCATTTCCATAGTTTGGAAGCGGAAATCTCTCCGAGAATCGTGTGTTGGCCGTCGGGAGTGCGGTCCACAACCGCAAACGCGCTTGGTTCGCGAGGGATCTGACGGGATGCTTCGATTGCGGGAGATGATGCGTCGATTGAGCAGTAATTAGGGTTTATTGCGCCGAGAGATGAAATTGATGAGAGAGGGAGAGGGGCTAGGGCTCCGAGACAACCAATTAGGAAGCGGATGACGTCTTCTCGTGAAAGGCAGCAGTATTTGTCGCGGCTGAGGGCGGTGGGTGTGGGGGTTGAAGATGAAGGGCGGTTGTTGATATTGGGGATGGTGATGTTGGGATTGCTGTCGATGTTTTTGAGCCATTTTCCGTTGTAGAGAATTGAGAAGCGTTTGCTCATCCCTCGCCATCCTATGGATTTTGGAACCAGAAGTCGCCGCACACCTTGCTTCATTATCTCCAATGCGTCTATTAATCTAAACATTAAAAAAAAAAAAAAAAAAGAGTTCAATATTTGCTTTCAATAGCATTGTACTTTCAGATTTACAATGTTGGAATTAGAAAAAAAAAAAACGAAAATAAGATAAAAAAAATAAATCTAAGAAAGTACATTGCCATTTCTTGCATTTAAACCTTGATAAAATGATGATACTACGTTGTGCTTTTTATGTATGCCAAATTGACAACCATGGTCTCTTCTTATAGAAGGAATCTAATGGAATGGATACAAGAAAGCACATATATGGAAATCCTAAAATTGATGATAAATTTAGTACCTGTTGGCGGTTGCATATACATTATAATCTTCTAAATTGACAAAAGAATCATTCTCTTTACATCAACAACCAACCTTTTATCCCAAAAGCTAGAAGAATCTATGTCTTATTGGAAAAGTAGTAGATTTGAATATGTTGAATCAAAAAGTAACCTTTTTCTTAACGGAGTAAGTATTGGTAACTGGAAACTGTGTATATTGAACGCCAAACAGATCCGCATGTGGCTACCGATTAACAGCTTGTAAAAACAATGTGAATGTTTAAGATTATAACATCTGAATTCATGTAAAATCATATAAAGTATTGAACTTATCATGTTATTAAATCTCAGATCTTATGTTCCTAAAGAAAGACCAAAAACCTTCCGATATCAATTACTAATATATAAACAATTATGTCAACAGAGTTCATACACAGAACTCTTTCGAAAAAAAGAGTTCATACACAAGAACAATCGAAAGATGAAGACAACAGATTGATAATGATAAATCGAGTGTTTTAGGGTTTGATGTCAAGTTCATTACTTTAATCTAAATATAAACAAGATGAAAGCTAACCTTGTGCCAGGATCAACTTCCTTCATCAAAGTATTATCAGGAACAACCACCTCAGAAACAGGCGTCTTCAGAGCTTTCTCTTGATCATTCAAACAATCATCTCTTGCCAAGAAAGCAACGATATCGAGCGGATTTAAGATACCCACAAATCTCTGATGCCTCATCTCTGCGTTCTCAATTAAACCCTTCTGCACCGACCTCCTCTTCCAAATTGCTATCCCGCACTCTGTTGACTCTCCGATTGCCTTAATCGCAGCCTCGAGCGTCTCATTCTCGGTGAACTCAACCAGCTCCGGCTTCCCCACCGTCAGATCCCCCACCACATGATACAAAAACACCGATGCCATTTACTTGATTTGCAATTGATCGGTTTTGGAGACTTGAATAGTCAATTGATGGGTTGACCACTGATGATAAGCGAAAAAGCAGCCTCGTTTTGGGTGAAAATCCAAGTTGCAAAACAAGAACACCGCTTCAATTTCGAGGTTTGACTGCCTGCGACAAAAGCAAGGAATTATAAAAGGGTATGCAGGAAGATAAGAAGAAGGTGGAAACGAGTGATGGGTAATTTAAGAAGTGGCTTCAAAGAAGAGGAGATGAAGTGAGAGTAAGAGAACGAATTGCCCATGGAGTAGCAGGAGTTGGTTGGAGAAGAAAGCCCATGAAAAGGTCGAATTTCGTGAGAGATCTACACTCGTTGGATCGTTTTTGCTTCTGGGGTTTCAAGAATGATAAGGTTGTGTGAGCAGAGGGAGGGGATGACGACATATATCAGCATCAATCATGGAATCATGACAATAAAGACAGAGTGGCATAAGATCCAAAATTGAATTTTGCAACCAACCCAGACCCTATGAAACAAATTATTGAGCATCATTGTCCCTTCTTCTATAATTAAGCATAATAATTGCCTTTTGATAAGCTCATAAATATACTATGTAAGGTCTCAATTTACATCATTAGACTTTAATTTCAAGTTTCAAGATTTTGAGGAAGTAGTGGTTGCACACGACGAAGCATCCGCATTGATATAAAAATAAACCATAGACTTTCGGAAACTGTTGGAAAAAAATTTCGACTTTGTCATTTTAATCGATTATTGTTAGGTACATTTTTAGCATATTTTTTCTTGTTTTTGCATAAGATACATGCTTAAAATCATATATTTTATTTATAATTCAAAACATTGCATGTTTATTGGGTGATCAAAGTTATTTATATATCTTTTGTTGAATTTAAGGGGATTTGAAGGTTGGAACTTAACAATGAAAGATGGGAAAGAGTTCGAGTAAAAATTTCAAATGAATGCGGAGCAATCCGGAACCATACATACAAAAGATGGAGGTTACAAAAACAATTTTTTGGAAGGAAATGACCACACCAAGCCAACTGAGCCAAAATAACGGCCGAAATAAACAATGCAGAAGAAGTCCGCAAAATGGATATGATGCATGCAATACTTTTACAAATCAATAAACATAATAAAGATTATAATACAAATAATGGAAGCAACCCCACGAACATGAGTATTTAAGTGGTTCACGCTCTACCTCAAAATGTTACTTTACTCGGAAAAATCACATCGTCTAGTCAAGCACATCCTCGGTTTTGATCCATTAAAAAAATAAGTTCCTTAAAGTAAGAACTCGAACTATGTGTAAAATATACTTACATTTTTCTTTTACTTTGATCACTCAAACTTTAGATCGAGGTAAGATATCTTGAAGCTTTTCTAAGTGTTTTTCAAATATGTTTAATCTTAAGTGGTGTTCGTTTTCAGTCTCTTTTATTCAAGGATGTCATTTTTGGCTGCAAAATATGATTTAACTCAATAAGTACCAAATATCTATGCATTTGACCAAATTATAGCTAAAAATATATTAAAATAATGCCTAAAATATGTATAAATATGACAATATTAGTTTCAAATCACCTCCATATATAAAGAGGGGTTAAAATTTGGTTTTGGGTACATGAGAAAATAGTCTTTCACCTCCTAAGTTCAGAAACCCTAAGAAAAACCCTAAAAAAGTTGGAGCTCATCGCCATGTCGTGGTTGCTAGCAGATTCGTTTAATCGAGTCTTATTCCTTCTGGTTCTCGAGTTACCTTTCATAACTGTTGGTGTTTTGCGTCTTGGGTGCGATCACAAAAGAGGAACTCTATGTTAGGTTCTTAAGTTCAATTAACTGGCGAGACCCAAGAAGTCAAAGAAAACATGAAGGTATGATTCGTTCTATTAAGTCCACAAAGTTGCATAGATTGTTTGTGTTGGGTCTGGTTGTTACGAGTTCATAGATCATAAAATATGGTTGCTTCCATTGTCCCGATTTGGTCTTTGATTAGGCTCGTAACCCAACAGTGGTATCAGAACGTCTGGTTAGCTCAAGTCTATTGCACTTAGATTTTGTCTTTGATTGTATGTTAGGGTTTGTATGTGTAGGATTTTAGATGTTTAAATCATTTTAAATAGTCTAGAAAATTTCCTTGTCAAATCAAATATGTTTATACTTGTTAATGATGGGTTTTATATGTTACAACAAAAATGCACAAAGCGGAAAATACTTAACCATTAAGAATTTGGGCAAATGCAACCTAAAGGATCTATGTCTTTCACATAAAAGCAACATACTTTGAATTAACAAAATTATTATAACCCTAATGAAATCAAAATTCATAAGAGAAGGTTACATACCTTTTAATTTGTTATAGAAAACAAATCAAATGAATCCGTTTTCAAAACTCTTGGAAGCAAGAACCATAAATCTTGTGCTTCTGATGGTTCACACCCAAACTCTAGCAACTAGGAAACTTGAAGAGAGATGAGAGGGGATATATAATTTCAACTATCCTTCAGAGGGAAGTGATGGCCGAAAATATGAAGGGGTGAAGGCCTATTTATAGTTGATAGGAAAACCCTAGACAACCCTTACTTTGTTAAAATAATAATATTTCAAATCAGGTAATTATCTGGTTTCCTAATTATCTTCAACGAATATTCCGGATGCCTCAAAGATACCTCTAAAAATGTCCAAACCCTAGGAAGATTTTGTAATGACTTTTGTTCAACTATTGAACAATTACAGTTTAGGTCCTTGCACTTTTAATTAATCCAGTTAATCCCAAAACTAATTCTAATTAAATTCTGATTAATTCTTAATTAAATAATACTATTTCTGATTAATATATTATTCTTATAATATATTAATAAATTATTTATTACTATTTATTAATCACATAATAAATCAATAAAACAATTTCTCTCTAAAAAAGTCATCATATTCAATTACCAGGTTTGAGGACAACCCAAAAAGACTTTACTAATAACTCAAGTGTATACCAATTTATTTATTGGATTAGATAATTCAAGTGTATACCAATTTATTTATGGGCTTAGACACCTAATCCAACAATCTCCCATTTCGATAAGTCTATAACTACAATTGTCAGTATAACTTCTGAATTATCAGTAACAGGTACTCTTTCTCTGATATGATCAGTCATTAGTCCTGAGATAAATGATCACACATTCCTTCATTCTACAAGATATCGTATGGACACAAGACATGGATTAGAATCAATCTCACTATCCAAAATTTTGTTTCCCGATTTCCTGACTTGTGATGACCTCATAAGACTTCTAACTTAATACATCAATTTAGTCATGGTTCGGCCCACCACTATAAGTCAACACCAAATCACCGAGGGGCAAAAGATATCGCTTTTCCCGTTAGGGAAAAAGGAACAAATAAACTTTGACTCATATACTTGCATCCTTTACTTACCAAATCGTACACGACACTACGTTTTATAACATCAAGTTACTGATGCGGTTTCGCAATACCAATGTACAAATGACTTTTAAATTACAACTCATATATCTCCATTTTAAGAATATAAGATATTATCATCTCAAATTTACTCGTGATATAATCCTTGAAGTAGTTCTATAAGCATGGGTTGATCCAATACTCAATTCTCCGTTTTCTAAGTACTCATGAATGTTGTAGCAACACAATTGATATGTCCTTGACTGATGTGATCTTCTGTGCGCTCCAAGTCAAGTATTGCGGTTGAGAGAATTAAATATAGTAGTTAATCAGATCTCGATCAACCTTCGGGTCATGAGAAGGAACATTGGCTATTGGATCGAAACAGCGAAACACGAATGCCTTTCGAGTGATAGGCATATCAAATTGAGAATCTTTGGTATTCTCACAGTCAAAAGAAATGACTGGTTCAAGCCAATGAGTGTTGGGAGACTCAAATGCTTCTTTGATTAATTTCTCCAATGTCCATAGTGGAAAGAGAGCTTGTCTGCATACCCAAGTGTCATGAGCTTCTTTCTCTCTTCTCTCCCTTTCTTCTTCTTCTCTTGCAATTATGAGATTTTCATCAATCTCTCTGTCTCGATGCTTTCTTTTCAGAGTATCTTGTTCAGTTTCTTCTTCTTCATCACTTTGACACATAATAACCTTTTCTTTGTCCTTCACACTAGGACCCGAAGCTTCAATATCATTCGGTCTAGTGGTGACTTTCAGATTTGTGGGAGGTTGTTTGGGAGGATTTTGACCAAAGGTTCAAACTCCCAAATCACCTAATGAGTCTAACATTTTTTCATCTTCTGTTTGTGATAAGCAGGATATGTCATGGGAGAAAGTACCTTGCACAGATGATAAAAGTCAACCCAGTATCAAAATGGACTGGGTTCTAAAGACCAATGAATCCTGCACTCTGTGATGGAGTAGCTATGGAGGGATATCATCAGACTTCAGTTTGTTGGTAGTGACTATTTCAGACACGTAATAGGGATATCTCTCGACTTTACAACACTTAGAACTTTGTTTGAGAGTATGTGTCATTTGCGGAGAAAGAAGAAAGGAAAGGATCACAAATGGGGTTTGTGCTTAACGATGTGAAGAATTTTTGGATCTGTTCTAAGATTGAAATATGTGTGCTATTCTCATATCATCTGTATGCAATTTCCATTGGTGAAATATGGTTTGAGTTATCTTCTCGATACTCCTGAGTTTTTCTTAAAATGATTCGTTTTAAAGACAATCTTTTTTTTTCTTATAGTTTTTCGTTTGTAGATGATCCTTTGGGAAGTGATATGAAGCTTAGTGTTAAAGGGCAATATGAATTTCGTGTAATGCACTAAAGTAGAATTGTTTAGACTCTGTGCTCAATTTTCTGGTAGGCACGAAGGATTCAGAAGGACTAGACATAGTTTGATAATGAAAGGACTTGACAGTGAAGACTTAGTTAGTTCTATTTGGACTGACAATACGAAGCTCGGGTAGATTGAGCAGTGAGATAAACATGGGAACCTGCAGGATACACTAAAG